GTAAGGGGTAGATGATGTATCTGTGTTAGGCATTTTGCAAGCACAAACAGAGGGTTTTGTCTTTCAACACATTACATTTATGGATATATATACGGAGCAGAAAACACATCTGAATTCCTAGAATAAAAACACGATACGTAGGATAAACCTATTGTCTCCATAGCATCCGTCCAGACTTAGTGAGCCCCGGTGTGTAAAACCTTTTTATATATGGTCTATGGTCACAAGGTGCCTGAAATGCCACAGTGCCACATTTGCTACAGCTACTGTAGAGAGCTCTAAGTATAAGTTATGTAAGTATTGTGTTTTATTTGTGTGGGAAAATAAAACTTAGAAGTTTGCAATTCTGAAAGCATTGTTTATGTGTGACATGCATATACACAGACACATATTTGTGACTATTTTCTACAACTACAACTGCTGCTCAGTGATTTTGGCCCCAAAAAGACTAATGTTTTGGTACGTGACTTGAGTGGAATAATCGAGTGTAGTGGTAATGTTTGGCCTGCAGATGGCAGCGATTCTTATTAAAGACTTGGGCCACCATTAAATATAAGACGAAGAAGACAGAATCCGGAAAATATGACAAAATGGCGGAATGTGAAAACAACCACGACAACAGACTGTTGTCAAATTCAGACACCGTGCATCCTAACTTATCCGAGCTGCTAGATCGCGGGTGGAAGATATTTGAAGAGGTGGACAGTACCAACCTTCCCCTGGGCTCTAGCAGCATCCAGGTGGGAGTGAAACGTGGCATCGGCATGTTAGAAGAAGCGTCCACAATGGTGGCTCAGCTCAACCTGTTCAGTCGTAACGAGGAGCTGGAGGAGGTCTCCACAGCGGACCTGAAGTATCTGCTGTTGCCCGCTCTCCTAGGAGCTCTTACCATGAAGCAGACGAACAGAGACAAACGACTTCAGATAGTCCAGACAGCCCGGGCTTACTTCATGGACTTCCTGAGGAGATGTAAAGATTATAACATATCACACATTAAAATGCCAGACCCTAGTTGTGTCGACGCTCCAGAAAATGGATCCGCTGCGGCCAAGGTGAGGAGTTCTAAGGTTACACAGCACACTGAACCCAGGACACACACTTTGCCATTGCTCTACTATTAGAACGTATAAAATAATCTCTTAAAGGTTCAGTGTGTAGAATTTAGTGATATCTAGTGTTGAAATTACATGTTGCAGCTGAACACCCCTCACCTCAACCTCTCCTTCCAAACATGAAAAAGAACCTGTGGTAGCTTCAGTTGACATAAAAACTCAAAAGGTGTTTAGTTTGTCCAGTCTGGACTAATG